TAGTTTTCTGTTAGCTGATAATGGCTTATGTACCTCAGCTTGTTCTCACAAAAATGAGCATCTTCTACAGCGTACCTTAGAGGAACAGCATCCATTGCTGAAGCAGACAGACTCAGTACAGCCCAGTTATTTGCTGTAGCTTTTCCATTCCTTCAAAAAGGAAGTCAGAGTATTTCACAGTGATGTTACTGCACAGTATGGTGACTTCTGCGGTTTCTGCATAATTGTGTTTTGTTGTATGCATCTGATTGCTGTCGACTAAGCAGAAGAAAGCATTTTATTGCCGTAATGAAGTGAGGTGTGCTTATTTTTCATTACACTACGAACCTCCTGCATAAAAACAGGCCTCAGCTAGACTGTTCGCTTCTCTTTTTAATTACAGTATTAATAATTGTATCCTACAGAATGTAAAACTGTATTTAAATAGAGAATATTAGCAGTTAGTTGAAAAACATGCATTTTTTTGTTTTAATAGCATTCAGCTTCTGAAGGGATACCTTTTTTTTTCTTCAAATAATGTCTGAGGAATGTGATTCTTTATCCATCTTGAAGGCACCTATTAGTAACCTCAGTGCCTGCATGACTATTGCTCTCACTTGAACTTAAGAGTGCATTCCAGGAAGAATTTGTTCAAATTTGGATTTCCTAATTCCTAAGCTAGGAAAAAAAGGACACCTACAGTAGAATCTGATCCCCAGGTACTGATCAGAGGTCATTCAGTCTTGGTTCCTGAAATAAGCCATCTGACTGAGCATTTCCATTGTATCCATGCTGTTTCCGATAACTGTACCAAGTTCTTCAAGGGCAATTATTAGAACAAAACCACTTTTAATAGTTAATAATTTCATAATTACCAGAAAGATCTTAAAGTTGATCATATAAGCCAGTGTTCCAGTCAAAATGAGATCTAAGCTTTCGCCATGTGATTTATTTTTTTCATTACTCTCCTAGTACCTAACTACTGTTCAATGCAGTGCGTTTGTCTCAGTAAGAGATGTTTGCTGACATAGATGGGTCGGTATCATATGATCAGTAGGAAATGGAAGGCACAAGGTCGTCTTTCACCATGTTCTGTGTCAAAATAAGAACACTATTTTTCCTAAAGCTTGGTTTCTAGGAACACTGCTGACTGGAGACAAGCCACCCTGCCAACCTTACTCTAAATTAGCATAAATTTCAATTGCCAGTATTTCCCAGATGTCTCCACTTGAAAACTACTGACTCCATCTTTGTTTTATTAAATCACAACAAACAAAAGAAGAAAAAAGAATTGAATTTGATATGTGAAAGACAAGAATTGAATGTCCCCTTAGAGTATTATTCATAAAATAGAGTCCATTTGTTTGTGGGAAGAGCACTTGAAATGCTCTGAAGAATAAAGTACCACACAAACAAATGCCAGAAGTGCATATTCTCTTCTGGAAGTTGTTTTCCTGGACCTCTAGCTGTTTTTGTAGTTAACTTGCAAGTAAGCACTAAAATATACGTAGATTATTGGCAGCTTCAAAAAACAAAGAGCCATTTTATGCCTGACCCACTCTTGACAAACAGGGATGAATCTTCCTCCACAACTTTTTGCCTTAGCTGTGCCGAACAGCATAACTCACACAGGAGTTTCTCTGCCAGTCCTGCATCACTGATGTCTCCAGTCTATCTGGGATATTCCCATATTCCAGGAGCGCTCAGGAGTTTGAGACCAGCCATCAGATGACCAGCAGGTTGGATCTTCGGCTTTCCGTCTCCTTTGCATGGCCTAGATAGCTCAAAGAGAAGAGCCAAAGGCATTGGAGATCCTCACTGATGAGTTTTGCACGACTACTGAGGCCATTAGAGGAGGGTTTGAGTGTGAACCAGAGCATAAATTGCTGGATGTTGGAAAGAGATCAGAATTCAAAATTTCATTTATCCAAAGTTTGAGAAAACCATTTAATAGTGTCCTTTAGGAAACCTTTTCTAACAGATGTACTTTTAATAGATAATTGCTATTTCTTCAAAAACTTCATCATTTTGGAGCATTGTAATACTAAATATCAGTTGCAAGGAGGTAATTGAATAGTAGTGAACAGTAAATTTTGATCCATTCTTACTAGTCTGTGAATCTCTTCATTTCTTTAAGTAATTTTGTCATCAGAAAATAATAAAACCAAAATGTTTTGGTCTGCACTATTTATTCATTAGGGAAATAACTCTCTTTAGATTCAACTCAATGCTTGTGCTGTAATATGTGCTACTATTAGTCTCATCTGCTGTTCTCCACATTTCCTGTCCTATAATTGTACTTAACTTAGTGAAGAGCAGGAATAACATTTCTGCACTACTTACAGGTTTGATAACTGTCCAGTAAAATGAGGTTCCTCCCTAAATTCTCTGCTCTCCTCCTTGCTCTTTTAGTGACGTACCTTTGAGGACACAGTGTGCATCTTTTGTTCCAGGAGAGCTATCCTGAGGCATGAGGGAGGGTACATGGGCAAAATCTTCCACTTTTTTCACCCTGTACAAGTTTATAATTTGGCCTTACCTTTATTGTTCTATTTAGTGCAGTCAGCCAAGTATCAGTGCATTTTCTTTGTCCTGTTGAACCAAAGAAGTAAACAAGATCACTAAGATGCACACTTCATGTAATAGCAGAAAAAAGTTTGGTTAGCCCCAGGGTTTCATTCCCTCTGCCTTAAGCAGTGGGAACTTGATACAGCAGTTACTGCAGCAGGCATCTTGCAGCTGAGAAGCAAGCAGTCCCCCTCGGATACTGCCTTGCTGCTCTGTAGCAGCTGCAGCAGTACTGGCACATACAACAGCAAGCAGTTTGCTGTTTTGCTTTTTTTGCATAAAATTATATACTTCTCCTTTGCCTTAAGCCTAATTAGATGCATATATTCTGAACTAAATAATGGTAGGTTATAATATATTTTGGTTAATATGCTCTCTAGGGAGACTCTATTCTGTTTGGGCAAAGGGTGCTTTGGATGTATTCCTTTTGTTTTGCATGCATTGTTACTTTTGTATTATTACCTTCTCGCAAAAGACAAATAATTGTAAAAATCTGAATAGCTAGAAGCCTTGTATTTTCTGCTGTGAGGAAATTATTTTTAAATACTGCAAATCTGACTTTTAAAAGATTATACATGCTGACAACTACAGTTAAAATACATTATTTATGAAGTTTCATCAAAGAATGTAGCAATTCACAGAAGAAATGATAAACGTGTAGGAAACTTAAGACTGCCGTGGGTTACATAGGCTAAATGTGGTCTTCAGACTATGCTTCTGCCTGTTTGAGCTCCTTTACCTCCCAGTTACCCCAGGTGGGAGCTTCGCAGTCTTCCAAAGCAAGTCCTAGGAAAGACAACAAATCTGACCCCAGACCCCAGTGTGAAAAAACACGGCACTAGCGAGCAGATCAACTTTTGAATGATTCATGGAGAAAAGTGAGCTGGAAGTAAGTGAAGATGGTGTCTAGGGAAACACAAGGCAAAAAATGAGAGCCTCCCGGCTACCATGGGAAATACCAGAAACTTAGAGAAATAACTATAAATCTAACAGTGAGAGAAAGGCATGAAGAGAACAGTGGTTAAGGACAGTTAACAGTGAAAAAGTGTGGAAAACTAAGGCATTACAAAATACAAAGGTGGAGCTTTGAAGAACATGGAGATAGAGTAGGATATACAAACTACTGCGTATTAAGTGAGAAAGGCAAATAAAGCTGCAGAGTTACCTTTGCAGTTTCATTTACAGCTGACAAATGTATTCACTATTTATGAAAAGCAATCTTTCGTGGTTGCGTCAGTTATCACTGCTACCTACGTGCCAGCCTTTATTTAGAAGGAAAAAAAGTGAAATAATTGTAGACAAATTAGCAGCGTAAAATGTAATTATCAGTGATGAATGAAACGGGATGTATGGGATCAGAGTGAGCACAGAGGAGATGCTGAGGTTTTATTCTTAATAGAGCAAGTGCGTTGTCACTTGTTTTGGATTTGTGTGTTTCGTGCAGAAATGAGGAAAAGCCAGGGAAGGTGGTAGTAATTGAAGGATGAATCCTATTTCCCTTCTTATCATTAGAAAATATCCAACTTGAATAAAATTCCCACGATCTATGGGAAGGGCAGAAGAATTAGTGATGATGTCTAGTGTATTTATAACTTAAAAACATCCTTTCCTACTTTCCTCTGTAGGAATCAAAGCCTGAAAAGTGTTACACTGCAACTACTTGGTATTAAAGGGAAGTGGCTGTGGATTATTCCTTCTCAAAGGCAGTAGGTGGAAAGTTCTGAGGACCAGATTACATAGACTTATGCTAAATTGAAAATGTAAAGATGCTTGAGATAAGTGGGAAATACGGGTCAAAAGAGAGGAAAAATGTGATTGATGTGCTCTTTCCTTTTCAAAGCTGCACAAAACTGTGACGGCACACAGGTACCTGTTCTCAGGTCACCCATCTGAATTCTGAGTTCTGGTAGACATCCTTGTTATTCATCACGTGGTGTCTGCATCCAGCTGTGATGACCTCGTAGCTGGTCTGTGCCTGCTTCACTTGCCAGTGCTTCCATAGCTGTGGTGAACTTTGTTTCTCTTTGAGAACTGAAGCCATCCCATTCCAGATTTTGAAGAAGAACGCACGAGAAACAAAGATGTGACAATTTGAGAAAAGAAAATCAGTGTTTTAAGAAAGAATTTCCCTCCCAGAAAATGTGTGCACTTAGGGCATGCTTTGGTATGAAGATTTTGAAGATCATATGGTGTGTGCAGGCCAGCATGTTTTCCAAATACAAGTTTTAAATCTAAAGCAGGCTCACAGATGGTTCTAATGAGCTGGTCTTTGAGATTGACTGTGACTTGAACAAAAATAGTGGAACTTGTAAGACAGTAACATTTCCAGATGACTTCAAGCTAAAACTCTTGCAGAACAATCTTCATGCATCTTTTAACTGCACATATATATTTCTAGTCTACAGAAAAAAATGAAGAGATTTTTAGGATTTTCTTTCTTTTATCTTCATTCATTATCTTGGAGTTGGTCTAAATTTCCAAATAATTATGTAGCAGCACAGAAGACGGTGACAAGCCAGACAGTAGAGGAGTTGATTCTGTCCAGATTGGTACTTCATATAGCCATCTGAATGAAAAGCTATAAAAACAAATTAAAACAGACCTCAGTGAAGCACAGGGTTCTTTTTGCTGATATTATAAAGGTGTGAATTACAAGAAAAGTTCCAAAGCCCAAACTGCTGCACTCCAATTTGACCAGACTGTCAGCTTCAGGAAGAGAAATGCTGGTAATAAAAGTATCATTGAGTGGTTCGTAGCTTCTTTGTGCAGCAAATATTAAATTGCATTGCTTATATTATCATCTGTGACAAAAAGAGTAAGAATTTGTTTATAATCTTTTCATGAAATGCCTCGAACTTACGCCATTTCAAAACCATTTGTTCCTTGTGTCACCTAAATTTTGAGACTTTTTTTATTTCATTGCAGGTCTACCTTATGGATGGGAAGAAGCTTATACAGCAGATGGAATCAAATATTTTATCAAGTGAGTATTTCTGAGAGGAAATGGATTGGAGCTAAAATAAAATCCCATCTAACTGCATTTTTAAACCCAGATTGAACAGGAAAAAAGAGCAAATTAACAAAAGCTCTCACGTTTTTAATACACATCTTTATTACCAACATCACTTGTTCATTCCTCTGGTTCAGTACTGCACTGTTTAGAAAGTCCTACAGGGCTCGGCCACAAAGTCAACTGAAATTCAGTGAGAACTGTGAGATTCTGTCTTTCAGATGTCTTTGAAAACCCCGGTGCATGTGTTGAGAACTTCCCCAGCTGTGTTTGACCATATAACAGACCTAGAAGATACAGAAGGAAAAAAAAAATCCCCTAAAAATTGTATAGTAAATATATCCATTTGCAAATGTTCTTATATTGTGGGGGAAGTGGAAGAATTCTGAGGGCTGGATTTTTAGAACATACCAGTCTTGTTTCATCGGTGGATTTTAGTCCCATTAAGGACCCCAGAGTCCAGCTGTCCTACCAAATGTATCAGCTGCCCTAAAAGGTGGAGTTCTGTCTGCTCTCCTGATTCTGCAGCACTCATAGCACATCGTAACTAGAAAGATCATCTTTCCCTGGTCACCTCCTGTCCTGAATGGACATCTTGGGGAGAACTGCCTTAGCAATGAATTCAGTCTCCGAGCTATCTGCAGCTACTGATGACCTTTTAAATATGATCTCCTGTTCCCTTCTGTGGGAATCAGTTGTTCTGTTGCTGCAAAGCATTTTTTTTTTTCCAGAATATAGTGAAAACTAATTCATGTAATAGTTTTACTGTTCCTCTAAAAGACAGAAACAATTGCTGAGAAACTATAATTTATCTCCATTCTGTATACATCACGAATGATTGCTTACATCGTAGCAGATTATTTCAGCTACTGGAATTTACATACTGTTTAAGTCTGATTTTGCAGGTAGATTTCCCTGAAGTCTCTTAAAAGACATGAAAGGCAGTGAATCTTTGCACTGAGATGCAACTGCTTTTATCCCAAACTCTTGCAGAAGTCACATAAATAACAGTGAAGGTTATGTATTAGCTAGTGAAGAAAAGCAGGAAATTGGGTTTTTTTTGATTTTTGGTTTTTTTTTCAAGCACTGCTCTGTTGTCCTTGACTCATCCCATGGTGCCTCAGGCTACGTGTGTTAAAGCAGATGTGATTTGTTGAGTTTTTTTGCAGAGGTTTTCAAACACACCATACACAATAGTGCATTCCAGCTCTAGTCAAAGGGTGGCTTTTATTTTCAGACAGATATAAGTTACTAAATGGGACTTATAAAAAATAAAATTGTAGGCAAATAATTTAGGAAATGAAAACAAATCGGCAGCCAATTTCATAACAATGCAAATAAATACAAGAGCGAGTATTAAGCAGAGCACTGTTCACTTGGTCTCCATCTGGACGTTGATACAGGGAGACGTTATGGCACAGTCGGATGCTTAAGGTGGATGCTGGATTCTGTTCTGGATAAAGCACTTGGAATACAGGCTTTTACCAGCATAACTGGGAACTGAGAGAGAATTATGCAAACAATACACTAGCAACAGAATAAAAGAAATCTAACACTTTTTCCTGGTTTTGTTACTGGTGTCTTTCATACAAGAAAGTATGGGAGTCAGCAGAAAGCTGGGTTTGCTCAAGAACTCTTAAGATCTGCTCTTGGATCTTGGATGAACTGTTGCAGCTGTACTAAAGAGATGCTTATTAGCAACAGCGGAATCTCAGCCTTTCCAGGTGGTAGAAGTTAATTTCAGAAAGCTTCCCATGTTTTTCACATTGCCCCCACTTGTTGAAGCTACAGATCTGAACTGAACAGATCACATGAACAAGTTTTTTAGGAACTTTTGCATATCTGGCCTTTGACCATTAATGGATCAAAAATGTTCTTCCCTCTTCTTAACGTGCTCCTAGCATTGCAAGTGATGGAGCCCTGGGTTTTCTATCATTGCTACTTTCTGTAACCTGTCCTGTGAAGCTTTGTGTGGCTGGCAAGGAAAATCTATCCATTTTAATTGAAGAGAAGGGAATGAAGTCACCTGTCATGTTCTAAATGGAACAACCACATTTGTTAAGAGGTCTTAATTCACTTCATTAGAACGGAATTAACTGAATGCAAGGATAAAATATGATATTAATTAGTATTTTTTTTACCTAATTCCTAATTTTGTTTATATCTTTGTTACCAAATGTACATACAGAGTGTAAGCCAGGCTCTTCATAGGCTTGAAAATTCATACCTCTTCAGTATTCATCTCAGACAGTTATTTGGAGAAAGGAACAAGGGTTGCAAGTCTCTTGTTTCCAATGTAGCTTGAAGAAATTTGAAGATAAAGTTCTACCTAATATTAAAAATATCATCGAAAAAATCTTTTTTCTAGGAGGAGCTTGCTTGAGATGCATCTTTATCAGCTCATCCTTTTCAGATAATTAGACAATTCACATAATTTAATTCATTTGTTTAAATTGATTTAGCTGAATAGTTGATAATTCACCGTCCTGGCACTGTAAACTTGTTCTCTTTGGCTGTGAATATCAATCCTTTTATTCTTTGATGTTTAGAAGATCCAAAGCCATGAGGGGTGTAAGAATTATTTAGCAGTTGCCTTCAGTTCCATTGTGCTTTATTGTGCCATCAACTAGCTGAGTCCATAAATCTATATGCTATAAATCTAATGTGGTAAACACCCCAGAACGGAATCTTAATAGCACATAAGCTTGAGACAGCTTGCTGTGAAATTCCCATAAATATCTCTGAAGGGGGTGTAGCAATATGAAGTGCATGAGAAATCAGAGTTTAAAAGAAGCAAACCAGCTGGCTTGTGTTACACACTGAAGTGAAAACCCACTTATGTGAATAAATGACATGAATAAAACATTTACATGGCTCTATTCCTAAGGCACTAAACTGCTCTCCATCTACTGTGGAAAGACTCATCTTGTCCACCTCTATGTACCTGCAGACAACTTTCTGAAGTCACCTCTTTCTTTTACTCAGGAAATGATTTCAGTTTTGCAGTAAATTATTATCAATCAACCAAGTTGCTAAGGATCAGTCACAAAGTGCAAGTGAGGCAAGTGAGAGGAAATTAGCTTTAAGGCTGCTATCGTGTCATAAACTCACGTACCTCTATGCAAGGCATTAAGGTCATGCGTATAGACTTACCGTGCAATATCAGATAGCAGCGTATGCCTCTCTGAGTTATGTGTCAGCATACAGTGCAGCAAGAGCAAGTTTCAGTGTTCTGCAATATAATATAAAGGCAGTTATCAAAAGGACAAAAATTATGCCAGTAGACTAAAAGGCAGCAATCAGCTTCATTGCTAACGTGGCTCTGCTCTCCTCTTGCTGAAGAGGAAAAGTTGAATTTGGCCCCAGATATGTTTTGAAATAATCTGATATACTTTAAAGTAATGGATAGTGCAAGCATTATTTTATTTTGCCTGCCAGCAATACAATCATTCATCCACGTGCAGCCCCAGATTCGTGCCCCCTCACACGATGTCTAATAGAAATACATGCCTGCTTCTTCACTATTTTACCCTTGATATTTCTATCCCTGTTTACATCGGTGAATTTGTTTCAGAAGAGCTGAAATCTTGACCTCATGAACTTAAAGCAACAACTGAATGTAGCCCAGTGGGTTCTTCAGCAGTCCACTGCAATTCCAAAATCAGAGAAGAAAATCCTAAGTCTAGATCAGAAGGAATCTCTGGAGGTCAAGTCATCAAACCTTCCGCAGAAAAGCAAATGAGAGTCCTGTCAAACCAAGACCTGGACATTTCCAGGGAGGAAGGTTGCACCCTATCCAAGCACCCTATTCCAAGGAGCACCTGATGATCTGTGAAGGTCCCTTCCAACTGAACTATGCTATTCTACTTACAGTATAGCTGGGACACTAATTTTTTTCCTCAGAAAAACCATCAAAGTTGATCTCTTCCACCCTCCCACTACATTCACCTTTAACATATGGCAGCTCTGTATCATGAGACTGGCACCTATAATTAGGTAGGGCCTTGCTATTCTCCCTCCCACTCCCACCCACTGCTTACATATGTATACAGTTTGTAAGGACCAGCTGTGAATTTTGCCCCTGTAACACCTCTTCTAGCTTTTTAACAGGACTAGGTTCCAGCTATTCCATATTAACTGTTATTTTTCTCATGAACATTTATCTTGAATTAAATTAGCCTAAAAGACACACAGAAGTTCCTTTAATGTTTTGGGATGCTTTCTGTTAGATGAATTAGGACATATGGATTTTCTGTCTTATATTAAAAAGGAAATGGTAATGTTTGATTTAGGATTATCTTTCATTAATTTACCTAAAAATGAGAAGCTTCACATTGAAGCACTGCGTATTTCAGTGTGACAAAGCAGGCACAGGTGCTTTGACAGCATGTCAGTGTAACTGAGAGTAGAAGACAAGCAATACATACATTACAGGTTAATAAAAACACACAGTGTGTTCTGGTAGCTTTTGAAATCGTACCTAAAATTATGCTTCTACTTTGGAAAATAACAAATTGGACTTATTTTATCATATTCTATTTGTTTTGGTTTTGTATGGGAAGGAGCCAACATTAATTCTACTGAAAGCTGGGCAGTCACAGAAACTGTTTATGATTTTGTGACTCAACTAAGAATAGAAAGCATGTGTGGTAAATGAACTTCTGCAGTGTAAACAGTGAAGTAGAGCTAAAGGTATCATTGTAAATGGAAAATAAATCACAGCTGATTTTACTTAGCGTGCTCAATTGAAAAACAAACCTGCTCCTTTTGTAAGTGCACTTTCACATCTCTACTGCATTACAAAGAACCCAAAAATGTAGCACATCGATGTGTTTGGTTTTTCCTCTGCTATTTGATTCCAGCATGTATTAGTGTATTGCAATATACTAGTTGACCACAGGCAATCTAAGAAGAAATCAAGCTCAATTAAGATCAAATTGTAGCAGAGGTGATCTAAGAGTAAACTGCATGTTCCATAAGGTTGGTATTTCAGTGACTTCAGAGTAACGAACTAAGGGAAACTCTGATCTGCTGCACTGAACATGCAGTGGGAATGAATCAAGTATGAGCTCTGCTCCTATCTCCCTCTACAGAGGTAGACTTTTGGCTAACAAAAAGACTTAAAAGACTTACCGGTAGTAATCTGAGATAAGGTGAAAATTCACAATAATTTCTAAGGTTTGGAAGTGTATCATCAGCAGATGATTAGGTTGTAGGGAATTCTGCCAGTCTGATTTTCACTAGTTGCATGACTATAAGAAAAATAGCCTCAGATGTGCAACCAGAAAACTTGGCTTTGGATTTTATGATAACATGAGCTTGTAATACAAGAATGTTGAGTCCTTAAGCTGCTTTTGGTTGGATATTTTTTTTCCTTCAGAGGCTGTTTGTTTTTTAATTTCAAGAACCAAAATGGAGAAGCGTTCTTTCAGCTTCCACAAACACTGCTGTGTCCAGGTTCTGACGTGTCATACGAGGCAGCTGTTAACATTTCAGTAAGGAAACACTTAAAGCTGAAATTACTGTTTTGCTCAAGCCTTCTAAATTCGACGGAAATCAGTGCATTGATTTCTGTTGCCTCTGCTGGGTAATTCTACTCTTAGCCTGGTGTGATCAAGGGTCTAGTTTTCACTATTTAGCAACTTCTATAAATAGAGCTGGACGCTGGAAAGTTCAGGCTCCCAGGAAGTTTTCCTGTGCTGGGGCATTTATGGGCTGAGTCGGGGCTCTTGGGATCCTGCGGCTGGGGAGAGGCAGAGCAGGGCACAGTAAGGGTTTGCTCCATGTGTGTTTCGTGTGAGGCCTGGGGAGGCACTCAGGACTGTGAGTAACGCAGCGCTGTAGGGTTAACAGCAGCTGGCTAAAACTGGCGTGAGGAGGAATTCAGGTCAGACTTGTGAAACTGTGAGAAGTTTGTATATCCTATCACTCAAACCTTTGGGCTTACTCAGCTTTGGCTCCAATCCCATTTTTATTACTGCTTTCATTTTCAGTGGGCTCATTAGTTTGTTGTTGGTAATTTTTAATGATCGAGCATGCCATTTAGATGCGCATATCTTCCTAGTGATAACAGACTTCTGAGATTGCTCATACATTTTTCTTAGTAGACAACTGTTTTATCCAGGGATAAACAGCGAGACACTCTTCTTTCACTTGGTATCCCTCAAGCATTAATTACCATTAAGCCAAACTTTCAGTCCCTGAGGGACATTAAAGAAAAAATAACAACATTTATGGCACCTTAGGACACGGTGACAAGTGCTCTCAATCTTCCTGCAGCCGAGGAAAGGTGAAGTCAGTCCATCCTTCAGGACCTAGCAGCTCCCTGGATAGTTTTATACACTGTGCCTTGAAGGAGTGGCCACTTTTAAACCAATTTTAACAAAGGAAGGGAGAAAAAAAGAATGCTTAATTTCAAGTAATCTGATTTTCATAAATAGAAGAAGCCTTCCAAAAATGCCTGTAGGTTTGTATTCTCTCTTGCTCGTATTGATGGCCTAACACAAATCAGAGAGGATGTATTTCTAATACAGGAATGTTCTGCAAACCAGTAAATCTGGGATTATCTCTTCAGACTGATTATGTCAAAGCTTTTTAGCCACAGCACTTGTAGGGAGCTAAAAATAAATAGCAGGAGGTTTCTACATCTACTCTTTACCTAAATCATGTTGTGCATATTGTGTATGTTTTCTTACAATGCATGTCTTTTTACAACTGCTTCTTACATGCTATCTGGACTTAACAGTTATTTACAAGAGTTATTTCCTAGTAAGGATTTTAACAAAAGGTTTAAAACAAACTGTACTACTAGAAGCATGGGACAAAGTTTAGTGCAAGTTTGAAAGAACTGACTTCTAATGTACGCAGCAGGTCAAGGCATCTACAGGTGAATACCAAATGAGAAAAAAAATTCAAAAATAATTTGGTTCTTATTTAAATTCAGAAATGGCTTGCTGAGAAATGGCTTGATAAAAGGCAGTATAAACACTTGAATGGTACTGCAGGCAATAAATCTTGCATTGGCAGTGAATGAATGGATGGAATCCCGTGATTCCTCAGGCATTGGAAGGCGCTGCGTCTCAACGCAGGTAGATGGAAAGCAGTCTCCATACCTGTAAGTCAGTGTGATGGGACTCTGACCCGCAGAATCCTACTTTGGTGAACCAATTTCCACTATCAGATATTCTGTATAGCATTCTTGAAGATAAAAATGCAAACTTTTCACTTGAAAAGGTAAATCTAGAGTAGTTTCATCACAACTTCATGTTTAGTTAAACTTATGCACCAGAAATGTGAGTACAGAAATGAGCTTTAGGTACAGTTAGTAGTTGTGAGACTTAACTGAGGAGAACTGCTTGTTTTTTACAGTTTATATTAAATATGCCATATTTTTCAGCAACTTTTTCTCATGAACTTGTATTAAAAAATTCATCTTTGCACTGGCCTGACTATAAAAACAGTGAATTTATTAGCAAGATTTTTTAAGTCCAGAGAAGCTATTTCCTTTACCAAGAACACATTATTCCAGAAGGGAGAAGAGGCTGTGCCTTGCCCACACACAGTATGGCTAGCATGCATGCTACCAATCGTAGGGTGTGCAGCGTTCTCACCCTCAGACAATGAGCACATCCCATTTATCTGTCCTTACTGAGTTTGAGCAGGTTCTTCCCATTCATCTGGAAGCTCAACAAAAATACCAAGCAGCTCAGACTCCTTTTCAAGTATAGGGTTTAGGCCTTTAAAAAGATAATACTCCTTTTTATTACTTACACAAAGTACACCTTGTTTGGGTTTATTCATCAACTTTTTTTCGGTGAGAAATATTAATGATGAGTGTTCAGTCCACTTCCTCTTATCCACAATGCCTCCCTCTCTAACTGCTATGATGGCAATGTTAATACCGTGCCAGCTCGATGTGGGTTTTTTTAAGACTTTGATAGTCTGGGCTGTTCACTGTTGCTGGGTCAGTTTTATTCATTAACAGGAAATGTTGCTAGTTTGAACCAGGAATCTCCTAGAAAAGCACTCTCTCATTTATTTGGAAGTGAAACTCTCCAGATTCTAGCATCCGGAAGACTCCTCATTTTGTTTGTAAAATCTCCTAGTTAGCAAGACAAAGAGAATTCAGTACTTGAAAGTATTGTAATGATAACACAAGGCCTGAAAATGGATATCATCTGGCATTTCTTGTTTCAGATTGGTAAACCTTCTAGATTGCTGATAGCATGTCTT